GTTGTAACAGATCATGTTGGAGGCGCTGTTGATGCCGAAGTTGAAGGTGCCGGATGCGCCGGCGAGACCACCGGTTGGTTCGGTGCCGTTGACGACCTCCTCCGGGACAGCATGAACGAAGTGCGTGGAGGAGAAAGCGAACAGCTGCTGAGCATCGATAGCGTTGGCTGCAACAGCGTCTTTACCGGTCAGGTCGATGTTAATTTGCAGCTGCATGTGACCGTTGCCGATGTCGAGAGGTGATGCTGCGACTGGCGCGGCGGTTGCGCTCAGCGCCAGGCTTGCGATGGTGACGAACGCGGCGGTATACATTATGGTATAATAAGTTGCAAGAACTGTGTATCGTGAAAAAGTGTGCGGTAAATGTCTTGTCAAAAGAACGTGTAGAAGAGAAGCGAAAGAAGCGAAAGGATGAATGAGTGTGTTTGAGAAAGGACTGGTCAACAGCGAATTATTCCTACTGAGCCTCAAAAGGCGCCCCTTCCATCTGGTTATATACTCGCCACATGTGGTGATACAGCGTACGTGGATGCCTTAGCACCAAGGCTTGGTGTTGGTAATTTGAGGCACCTGTGTAACGCGTGCTGAGTTTCGCGGACCTTGGCCAACACCAACAGCCGACTCGGCGCCTTGGAAGCATCACGCCTCAACGCATGCTGTAAACATTTAGCTCAAATGAACGATCGAGTTGCGAAGTGTGCATCCCGAATTGGCATGAGCATGGGTGCAAAAGCTGACGAGCCCAAGGTACGCATCGCTATTTTGTCGCGGGTTCTCGTTAGCCAAGTGCGCAAAACATACGATACGGGTGTCTTGGGCAGAAGCGAAGCGCATCCTGACTGGGTTGAATGTCTATTCTCGTAATAATCTTCTCGCCATTTGCTACTCGTAATCTAGACTTTACATTTAATGTACTAGCACTAGATAACCTAGATAATCTAAATAATTAACTAAATAACCTATTACTTATAATAGCTACTTAGCTATTACTATAATACTTTTATATATTTTTATTTTTATTTTTTATAATAATTTTTTAACTTACTAAAATAGCTAATATTTATACTTTTTAGTTTATATTTATAAACTAACTATTTAAAATATTTTACTTTACTTAAGTAAGCTAAATACTAAGTAGTTAAAGTTACTAAATAAAATTTAATACTACTACTTTTTTAGTAATTAAAAAGTTTTTAGCTACTTAGTTTATACTTATAAATATTAGCTATATTTATATTTATATTAGTATTTTTAGTATATATATTTATATACTTTAATACTTATTAAAAATAAAACTATATTTTTAAGTATTATATAACTATTTAGTATATAGCTAAGCTTTAAAAAAAGTACTACTTTTAAAAATAATAATAAATTAGTAATAAGTAGCTTATAATTTTACTACTTTTTTAATTATAATAGTAAATTTTAAAAAAGCTAAAAGTTATAAAAAAATACTAAGTAGTAGTAATTTACTATTAAAAGTAAGCTAAGTATTTATATAAAAAATAGTAATTATATTAGTAGCTATAGTTATATATATATTATAATTAAAAAGTAGTACTTATAGTAGTTACTTTTTATATTTTTTTTTTTAACTAATATTTATATATAGTATTTTTATTTTTTAGTTACTATTTACTTTATTTTATAGTACTATAGTAATATAAAGTAAAATAAGCTACTTATAACTTTTATAATATTAATAACTTTAATAAAAAGATACTCTTATAAATAAGAGAAATCGCAAGTATAATATACTTGTGATCTGCTGTTGCTTAGGTTCTATGCCGTCCGGAAGGAAGGGCACGCTGGAAAGGCCGTTCGAGTAAAATATCGTCTGCATGGCTTCTGAACAGCATGCCAAGAATCGTTCGGCTATCGCAACGCTGCCGATAGAAGCAAAAAGTCTGACATGCCGTTGTCAAGCTGTTAACGCTCTTTCAAGGGCTGCCCAGATGAGATTGGCTCTTCGAGGCACGGGCGCGTGCTGTCGAATACGAGAGGATTAGAGGACAGGGCGATGCTGCAGCAGCCTGGAAGTCAGGCAGCGGTCTAGGGCTCATTAAAGGACTTTGTTAACATACATTTCGAAGATGGTGGTCTGACTGTGCGTACTGATGATAGTTGAAGTGTGTATGGACTGGGGTAGCAGTCATGACGCAATGGGGTGGTCATAGCTCCGGCCCAACCCAACAAGGAGGAGGCCTCTGATTATCTCATTTACAATCCCCTCGCGTCTCGCAACACGCCCTCAGTATCTCAGCGTCAGAGTGCAGATACAGGCGTCGGCTTCTTCGATGGCATTTCTTCCAGACGCAATTGTACGCCCGCGAAGGGGTTCGGTGCAATGACGGCCGGTTTCAGCCACGATCCGACTCCAGTTTCATGATTCTCTTGGATCTGGACTTCTCTACTTTTCCACACAATCAGTCTATGATTTTTGTCGTCCACAATACTTCACTACGTTGATCAGCGAAATTCTCTCATGGAGAGGCATGGTGAAGACAAGAGACGGGAGGGATGTGGCGCGTTTCGATGCGAAGGTCAACGGGTACTTTGCTTTGCGCTTCATTAAGTCTTGATGATATTCGTTACGTATGTATTAATACACTATATGAAGTGAAGTAGATATTGGTATCATATATCAGTCATCCTCTCACCCCCAACTAAATTCCAGCACCAGCACCCGGGAACTTGGCGAGCAATGACTTGTCGTACTTGGCAAGATCCGGGCAGCCAAGCTTCGCAAGGATAGGATTCAGGGCATCGGTCAACTTCTGCACAGCAAGCAGAACATTGCCGAGAAGACCCTTCAAGATATCCGGGCTGGCGGAGTTGACAGCCTGGAATGCGAAGCACATGAGGTTGTTGTCTTCGAGCAGGGTCTCGGCATTGAAGACACCACCAGTGAGATCGGCGATGTTGACGCCGGTGAAGGTGTTGGGCTCACCAGTGTTGCCACCGACGACGGCCATGTAGGGAAGAGCTTGGAGTGCGCCTACGGCATCGAGTGTGAAGGCTGCGATTCCGTAGTCATCACCGATAGCGCGGCGGTACCACTGCGGTAGATGTTAGTAGGTTTCGACCGCTGATGATGTATGCAGAGCAAACTTACGTTCTCGGGAATCTTCTCCTGACCACGAGCCCACTTGAAGCTGCCTTTCTCTCCTGTGACACCTTCAAACGACTTGAGGGTTTCTCCGTCGAGATAACCTGATGGGTACTCTGCAGAGTGGTTCGAGAAGAAGTGAAATGTGAACAGGTAAGTCGCAGTGTTGATGGCGTAGTGGGTCAAAGGCCCAGCCCAGTAGTGTCCGTTGGTGGCGACGGAGTTGTTGTATCTTGAGCCACGGAAAGGATGCATGACAGTGAGGTCGTAGCCCTGGGGACCGATAGGCATAGCCATGAGTTCCTCGAACTGAGGGAGGTTCAGCGATACTGGGTTGCCGTTCTTGTACAGATCCTCTCGTGTGGGAGAGCAATCGGCTTCGAAACGGTTGTGTGTTCCGCTCATACCCTGCGGCTTTCCGACGAGACCAAGTCCGGTAGTGAGTCCACCAAGCAGGCCTCCGCTGGGTGGACCACCGATGGAAGACGAGACAATGTCGCCGCCCATGACGGTGGCAAGGACTGACAGGAAGGCAGAGAGCTCGAGGCCCATACCGAAAACTATGACGCTGTGAGCGACTTGGCTAATAAGCTGGTAGAAACATGCGTACCTTCGTTCGATGCAGTAGTTAGCTGCGTGACGGATGCGATTCCATTGCGGGGGAGATAGCCGTGGTTCGCCATGACGTTCAGACCTGGGCAAGGCCCGCGAAGGTCATTCTTGCCTGGTGCAATCTGTAGGTGGACGTGTTAGAAATTGATGCAAGAACAAGTCTTCCATCCCAAGAGTCCACCTACATAACGGTGTTCACCCGTGGTGCTGATGCGCTGAGCGTCCGCATCAAAACCAGGTGGGAGGATGCTAGCCCCCAGTTGCCGTTTGGCCAAGTTGGCGGGCATCTCCTCAACCGCCCTTGTGATCTTTGCCGCCAGCTCTGTGATCTCTGCGAGACCCTCATCGCTGAGATCAGCAGGGAGGTTGTTGAGGAGGTTGGCGGGGAAGGCAAGAACTGCCGATGAAAGGAGCGTAGCGCATAGAATGGATGCCTTCATGCTTGCGACTGAAACTATACAAAGACTAAGGAGCGTATGTATCGGTGGCGGGTGAAAAGCAATTTGGCAGTTGAAGTCTTATTATATGCGAACAGTCGGAGGTGTTCACGGCGAATGACATGAACGCCACCAATCAACCATGGCGAATTTCGTAGCGGAAGTTTAATTCAGGAGTGGTGTGCCTGATCATCGTGCTGAGATCATGTACGTCGCTGATGAGATGGCAAACCTTCTGCGCGAGCGTAGAACAATGACTCTGTTCTACAAATGAACGACCGATAGAAGGGCCGAAGTTAGGAAAAGAGTGTGGTGGTGCAGCCTTGGATATGCGCCTGACATGCTAGAGACGTAGACTAAGATATCGACTAATGTCGGTCGGCTCATCACGTCATCTTCGATTGGTCGGTAGATGATTCCGATGCCATCGTTCGCAAGGGCGACAAGGCCCCTGATGCGCGCATAGTGCGAGTTGGGATCCGGGGACGCTAGGCGTTGTCATGGTGGTGGGCGTGCAGTGGCGCTACCTGGGAACCTGCCGCAGCGTGGAGGCGGGCCTGTAGATCAGATGCCGCTAGCCGGAAGGGAGCGGAGCCAGGAACCGGGCAAAGGCGAATGAGAAGGCTCCGACGAGACTCGGTCTTCAGGGTCCTCTTGCCTCTCATTACTCATGTTCTGAATGCTCGAAAGAAAGTAATGCGATGGCTAGGATAATTAACAAGACTCGTCAGTAGTGATAGAGAACGGACTCAGGGTGATGCCGATTCGCGGCCGAGAATTGGTGAGCAAACATCTTCGTTATGGCATTATTCGTGATTATCAATTACCCGTAAGCTCCATCACAACCTCCGTATGTCTTCTATGTGCGTCTGAATATGGTCTGCCAAGGGCCAATCGTCACCGTGTAGGTGCGCCCGTGACATGGACTCTGGCAATGACTCGGGTGTTGCAGCCGAAACCCTTCCAGTCTTCTCGTCAACAATGAGATCGTCCAACTCAATGTAACCCTCCTTGGGGCCACGCTCCAGGTCGTCGTCTTTGAATAATGAATCTGTGCTCGTGTTGTCTAGTGTACGTGATGTGTTCTTGTTCAATCGTCGTGCACTGTGATTCGCAAGTGTGCTTGCGTTGTTCGAAGGGTTGGAAGGAGTGCTTCCAGTACCAGTAGATTTCGATTTGTTGCTTCGATTTGTCGAGTTGTGGTAATGTGAGATGGCCGTGTTGACTGCTTGCTTGAAGAAGACACGGAGTACCGGAATGGACGTGGCAACGACCGTCATGGCAGTGTCTGCTGTTGACCAAATGACAGAGTTATACGCTTGGTCTACTTTGGTTAGCTCGTTTCAGATAAAGAGCTTCAATAGCTTACAGGAAAGATCCTGGGTTTGGAGCTGTTCGACGTATCTGGCTCGGAGAATAGATGTGACTCCCGCTAAGATACCCAGACTCATGGCAACACCAACTCCGATCTTCTCCGCGGTGCGCATCTGTAGATTCCAGAGGACCTTCCAAGGCAACAATGCTAGAGAAATATCCATGATGGCAGCCCATATAGCCTGGAATCTTCCGTATATCACGGAAGGTTCCTTGTCGATACATGTGCCAGGAAGGATATCAACAAAAGTCTTCGTTATTGGCTTGCACAGTACCCAGGGGAGGACAGCAACTGGTATTGCGAATATGGCAAGGGAAGCGATGGCGAACCAAACGTAGACCTTGAGCCATCCGTCCGTCAACCGAAGTAAAGTGAGCCCGAACGAGATCTTGCTGAGAATGATGCCCGTGATGGAAAAGGTGAGCGCAGATGCACCATAATACGTGATACGTTCGAAGTGGCTGAAGTCAACTAGCCAGAGAGTCAGAGATAGGTTGATTGAAGTCTTCTTTGTGAAGTCTTACTGTCGAGTGCATGCTTTCCAAAACCAAGGTTGATGCTGAGTTGGTTCAAGATCAGTTGGCCAAGGAGCATAAACTGTGGTGCATCAGCGATCCGTGATTTACTTCGATCTTTCGACTTACTTACCCAGCTGATAATGAGTACAATGTCGTCAAACCAGAACTTCTTTTGGGAACGACGGATCCAACAGCGAACAACCAGAAAGGCGAAAGAGACTCCACCAAGTGACCATGTCGAGACGGCCATCAACATCGAGTGCGACTCACTCGGGTCACTGCGCCAGTTATCGAATTGGGTAGACATCTTGATCGCGCTCGCGGGGGACCGAGGAGTCGGATACGATGGGAACGTCCAGTCGGTATAGGTATATCAACGTCCCACGGAGTTCCATCCAAAAAGGGCTGTGTTCCTCCGGGATGAGGGTACAATCTATAGGTAAGGCTGCTCCGCGGATGTCGAAATGTAAGGCACAAACTATACGATAGGCTAGTGCCTGAGACTCTTCCGCATGCCAGGGTGCGGCGAAGATCTCGCCGAGCTCGATCGCAGAAGCTATCGCGATATCGTGTTTGTCAAATATGCAATTCACTGGAAGTTTTATGCCTATTTGCCCAAGACCATCTCAAAGATGTGGGTATTCGCTGGTCAAACCTCGTCTCGGTGTGAACGTTTCTGGTACGTGCTTTAGGCTTGTCTGACTCGGGCCTGAAGCAAGAGCCGGTAAGCATCACGTCGGCGTGCACCCTCGTCATTTTCCAGACATGTGGCCAATCGCGGTTTTTGCACTTCGCATTGGCTTGAGTGAACGACGGCCCGAGAGCGGAGATCCCTCCCACTTCGCCGCTTGGTACGCGCGCTAACAAAGGGCCCGTCTGTCCCGGCAGTCATACCATCGCGGTTTTCAGGTCATGAGCGGGACTTGTGTAGATTGATGCCAGGGTGCATTCGATTGTAGTCGCAAATCTTGTTCCCTAGCAAGAGTGGGTCGGCTTCCATTGTCGCACTAGGGCCAGCGCGCGGATAGACTGATGCTCGGTCATCACCCTTTATTCTGATAAAGTTCAATGAATGCCGAGTGCGCAATCGACAGCCGCGGTTTTGGACGATCTGGAACATGCCGCGCTCGGACTTATCTTGGGGATGCTGGTAAACCTATGACCACGAAGGCAACGGGAGGAGGTTGGACCCAGCAACATCGCACCTTAGTCTGATGAGTATGCGCTGGGCAAACGTTGGCAGGGGCTGCGGAGGTATTTCAAACACCCCCAATGCAGCGACGTAGGGATATCGTAGGTACTGCAAACGTAGTCGCATGGCAGCAACATGCTGTGGCGATATTGCGCGACGAAGTTGCCGGCCAACTGTTCATAAAGATGTTCATTCATAGGGTGTCTGTTCCCGCCCACATGAGATAGTGCTTGTGTCTTACTGAGTGAGGTGCCAACGGCAGATCAGCCACTTCGACGTACCTGGTAGGCTGCGCGTGTGTCTGCACCTCTTTCACAAATGGCAGCAATGTGCCTGTCGTCAAGATAGTTGCTACCCAAGACCCCGCATTCATCGTTAGCAACGAGCCAATCGATACAGGAGTGTGACGCATCGTGATCTGGACTGGTGATGTTGGTTTTGGTGTAAGCTCAAAGACGAGGCGAGCAGCCTTGTACAGCTAACTGTCGCTTGCCTTACCGCAAGTGGACTTACTACTAGACAAGTCGACCGAGCACCTCTGGTTCGTCGCTCCTAGTCGTTACGAACACTGCCGACGAATTGGACATCGCTCTGAAGCGGATGTACGGGTGTTGGGTAGTTTACACTACAAGTTGATATAGTAATGGTTCATTTTCACGATGCAGGGCGTGAAAACACCCTAACGGTATCCTGTAGTGCATCAGCAGCGCTTTGCAGCCTTTGTAAACTCTGTTATCAGCGCTGTGTTCTCGGTCCACACAGCCGCAGTTGGCCTGAATGAACATTCGTACGAGTCACATGTGTGCTAAGAAGCAGCTGTTCGTGACCAGGTCGTCGCGGTTGCAAAGGAAGTGGCGCGCTTGAATTACCCGCCGGGCGTAGGCAAGAGAGTTCAGGATGCTTGCATGCGCCCTATGCGCTGACCGCGTTCGTCGATTTCTCATGGAGGATGGCGTATTCTCCATGTCTAAGTTTCGGGATCTAAACCTTTCTCTGTAGGCCAACCAGCAACTAGGCAGCTGGAATCGGAGACAAAGTTTGCGGAGCAGATCGGCCAGCCTAGCTAGTTCGGGTTCGCACTCGCCATCGACTAAATCAACACCATCTCCCCTCCTAAATTCTCTCTACGTCAACTTCATGTTTTGTGTAGTGTAGGGCATCTGCGCTAGGGCCCAAATTTATGCGTTGCAGCCCACCATCCAGGCACCAGAGAGCCGGCACTTCGAGGCGATTTCGATCGAGGCATTCACCTCGGAGTTTTGGCCTTCGCAGCGATGACCTGCACGTATGCATAAGGTTCGACATCTTATCGCGTAGATCGAACTCGAAAGAGGAAGACATGTGAGGAGCTCCGATGCTCACATTGAGTGACGCGCATGCCTGATGGGCCCAGCCAGATAGTTTTCAGGATGTAGCACATGGACAGGCGATGCGTTTTGACCATTGGGGTTGATGAAGTGTTGTCCTGTAAACAATGTTGAGGCTTGGAGGGAGTCGGCTTGATCAGTTGGGATTGGTGGGGAAGGTGTGGCCAGTAGGTGAACACTGTCTGAGTATTGAGGGAGCTTGGACAAGCAAATGCCGTCGAGGTGCATTGCTCAATGTATGCGTTTCATCAAAGAAGAGCATGCGTCGAGCGCCGGGCGCGAAGTTGAGAGTTCGACAGAATCGATGAGAGACGCGTTCTTTCCCTCGGAAGATGATTCCGAGAATGCGCACGTGCCGCATCACGTGCTATCTCCGCATCTTGGCAGGTGCCTGACGGGGAAGAGGGAGCCGACAGCCAACGTCATAACCCGCTGCAACGGCTTTATCGACGAAGGATTCATTAACGATGTAACCTTAGAGCTCAATCAGGGTGTACAACCGACAAGGCCCGCTTGGGGAGCGATGCGCGCATGCGGGGTACCTTGGAAAGCGGTGCACCAACGGCTGGGACGCATAAGAGGTAGAAGAAACTACAACACGTCCAGCTACATCAACTGTCCCCAAGATGTTTGGAACCGGGTTATTGTCTCTGCTGGTACTTGCGCCATGCGCAATAGCACAAGACGTCGACTATTCGCAGTTTGTGAATCCATTCATTGGGACTGAAGGCGCGATACCTGGCTACGCATGCAAGATGCAGGAAATCTACATCAAGCTCACTTCTAACTGATACCAGACGGCGGCGGTGATGTATTCGTGGGTGGCGCAGTACCATTTGGCATGGTCAAACTGGGCATCGACACGTATGAAGAGCCCATCAACCAGAGTGCGCTCAACGGCGGATATACACCTCAAGGCCATGTGACGGGCATCAGCTTGATGCACCAGTCAGGAACCGGCGGAGGATCGAAATACGGATACCCTTCCCAGATGCCGCTGACGAGCATTGACGGCGACGTCAATTTGCTGGACAATCGGACTTACTGGCAGGATCGAGTAGGGTCATCAAGTGTGATGCATAGGCAGCTTCTGACAAGCCTACAGGTTGGCGAAGACATTGCGCAAGTTGGTTACTTCCGTACCGAGCTCGAATCTGGTGTCAAGATCGAACTCGCGGCCTCTCGACACGCAGGATTATACCATTACATATATCCGTCTTCGTCCGAGAAGCATGTTCTGGTTGACCTGTCGCACTACTTACCCCATCTGACACGCTCGTGGGACTCGCAATTCTATATAGGGGGCGAGATTGAGATTCAACCGAACAACAGCACGTACACTGGATATACATCAATAGCTGGAGGGTGGAACATTGGGGCACCCGTAACTGGTCAGTCCTAAGTGTACGAAGTGCATGTGAGACAAATGCTGACTTCGAAACCACCTCTGCAGTGTACGTATGCGGCGAGTTCGATAGTCTGCCTGACGAGGCGCGTGCTTTCAAGGGAAAGAACACATTCCCCGTCGGTCGACACTTCCGGTCGTTCAACAATGGCACAACACCCCGGCCTACGTACACTGGGTCAACAGCCCGGTCAGGGCCGATGAACGACCGCGTCGGAGCAGTATTCACCTGGACTAATGCCACCGAGATCAAATCGCGAGTAGGCATCTCCTTCATGTCCGTTGACAAGGCATGCTCGTACAAGAACGCCGAGCTCTCTTCGTGGTCAATCGAGGATACCGCACAAGCGACGCGTGACGAATGGAACCGCGATGTCTTTTCCAAGATTCGCGTTGACACTTCGGAGTCGGCAAACAAGACCAGGCTGGCGTTGTTATACTCCAGTTTGTATTTCATGCACCTAATACCCAGCGAGCGTGTAGGCGAGAACTCTCTTTGGGAATCGGATGAGCCATATTGGGATGGTAAGTCCTGACTTCAAGAAATGCATGTGAGACGTATGCTGACTTAGTGTAAAAGACTTTTACACTATGTGGGATCTGTTCCGAAACCAGGTCTCGCTCTGGCACCTCATACAGCCAAGCTACTATGAGTCTATGATTCGATCCCTCATCGACATGTTCAAGCAAGAAGGCTACCTTCCGGATGGTCGATCTGGCAATTACAACGGTCTGGTCCAGGGAGGATCGAATGCCGATAACGTCCTGGCAGATGCTTACGTCAAGGGCTTGACGGGTATGATCAACTGGACGGAAGGCTATGCAGCAGTCAAGAAGGATGCCGATGTCTTGCCTTTCTTCGACGAGAACCCAGTCGACCCGTATGGTTCGCTGAAAGAAGGACGTGGTGCGCTGAAAGACTGGATAGAACTCGGCTACGTCTCGGCTGATCGCAGCACGCGTGCAGTGTCAAAGACGGTAGAGTACTCACTCAACGATTTCGCTGTCAGCCAGATCGCAGCTGGCGAGGCGCCTGGCGATCGTGACCTCTACCTGCGTCGGTCCGCAGGTTGGCAGATGAGTTGGGATCCTGAGTCTGCGAGTCGAAACTTTTCCGGTTTCGTTATGCCGCGATACGCGAACGGCACTTTCCACAAGACGTACGACATTACTGACTGCGGCGATTGTAACTGGGAAGATGAGAGCTACGAAGGCACTGCTTTTGGTGAGTCGCTGCCTGCCTGCATGCAATCCTCTTCTACTTGTACACTAACAAGAGGTTAGAGTATTCCTTCGTCGTTCCCCACGACATCTCGCGCGTCATCACGCTAATGGGCGGCCCTTCACACTTTGAAGATCGTCTCGACTACGTCTTCCAACCAAACACGTCTGGCGTAGACCTCGGCGTAAACGGACTTGGCATCACCACCATCAATAACGTCGCAAACGAACCCGACTTCGAAACACCGTATCTATACAACTACCTCAACAAGCAGTGGAAGAGCGTCGAGCGAAGCCGCCAGCTTGCCAATGACTTCTACTTCAACACCACTAACGGTATACCTGGCAACAGCGATGCGGGCGCCCTGAATTGCTGGCTCATCTGGCAAATGCTGGGATTGTATCCTATAGTCACTACGCCTGTATATCTCCTGGAAAGTCCTTGGTTCTCCGATATCAACATTACTGTTAACCATGACAAGACGCTGAGGATCAGGGCCGAGGGATTAGACGATGGGGATGGTAGGCAGGGGTACTACGTCCAGGGCGTGAGCATTAACGGAGAGGAATGGGGAAAGAACTGGTTCGAGCATGAAGACGCGGGCGGTATCATGACGGAGGGAGGCGAAATTGTCTTTAGGCTCGGAGAGCAACAGACTGTGTGGGAGTCAGGCGATGTACCTCCCAGTCCTGGACATCAGGTTGTTGATGTTGGTGAGAGTGCACAGTTCTCTAACTGATGCAGCATAGCATTGCGCCAACCCGCGTCGTGACGGTATATATGGCGGTAGGCAATTGCAATGGGAGAGAGTATCAATAAATTCTCGTGATATCAACATCCGTCTAACGTCAAACCCCGCCAAGACATCCGACACATCTGACACACCTGCGGGCACTCCGCACACCCTCCGATCACGTGAACCACTCTGAAACGCTTCCTGCAACAGCACCTCGAGACCCATCCGCCACGGCATTGACCCCGCTGATAGGCCAGAACACAACACCCCGAGGACGCGTCACCAGCAAACCGCACAATAGTACAAGCCAGATGAAAGTCAACTAACAGCATGAATCATGCACGATATATGCGCTTCAATTATAGGTACCTCGCCTCCGACACCCGGCGCCTGGATACGCAGGCGACAAGGCGATCACACAGCGACAGCCTCAGCGCCACGGAGAGCATGACACGGTGCACTGGAAGCGTACTGCGGGGTCGCACATCGCGGGTGCTTAAGGGAAAGCATAAGAAGGCTGTCTCGCCCGTTGGGTTGGGAGACCATCAAGCAACATCTTCTTCGCACTACAACAACCCTCTTCTATTCCATTCTTTCTTTGCGTCTGTGACTGCAAAAGCTGACCTGGTGTCATTCGTTCAAACGTACTATACATAATCTACCTCTCGATTATATTTCGATACCCATAACCAGCAAGATGCGTTTCTCCATCGCTACTCTTATCACCTGTAAGCAACCACCGTTTTTCACCTGCCTCGAGATGTCTTATACTAACACCCCCCAGTGGCCGCCGTCTCCATGGCGCAAGTCACGCCCAACAACGCGGGCGCCAAGAACGTCGGTGCAGGTGACGGTTCGCAGTTCATCACCGGCGGGTGCGTCTCGGATGCCGATTGCAGCTCCGCCTGCTGCAGTCAGGTCGCTGCGACCGGCGACGGCGTGTGCTCTGCTGAGGCGGCTAGCCAGCAGAACGGAAAGACGGGTTGTGGATTCACGGACCCGAATGCGGATGCGGTGATTGCGGCGGCGCAGGACCAGGTTGCGCAGCAGGGATTCAAGAGGGTTGTTCGTAGCGAGTAGGGGTGTTGCTTTGACGGAGGTGGTGGTGTTGCGTCAATGATGAGATGGTTTGACGGTAGCTGTGTGTTGTGCTCTGGCTGTGATGTCCTTTCTCGTGACGTGTACTAAGTTCAACTAGTTCATGCGCATTTTAGAATCCGCTCCACGTCGAAGACGTGATTCGACGTGGAGCGGATTCTAAAATGCGCATGAATCAGTTGAAATTGTGATGATGACCTCAATGAGCGTATCCGCTTCCCGCCCCAAAAGCCGCCCAGAGCCGAGCCACCCAGAGCGCCAATATCAACTCCCGACATGTCTGGTCTAGATCATGCCTCAGTTCAATCGTCGGCATCTTGCCTCCAGGTCCCATCTTCAATACCTCTGTCGCAACGACATGGCCCTCACTGTCTTTCCACTGGCTAGGTTCCAATTCGTTCTTCCTCTGCTTAAGCGCCTTTGTGAATCCCCCTGGCTTCCCACAAGTCATAATCTCATTCGGTCGACTGCCCTGCGTGGGCATATGCACCACATGCCATCGACGCAGTCCGAACCGCAGTTGTAAAGCGCCGGGGAGTGTGCTCCCCGCTTTGCCTTGGATGTAGTACTCGTTGATAAGGAAGGGCGGGTCGTGGGCTTCGTATAGGACGCTGCTACTGTCGAAGGCGACGGTCGGTGCGCCGGATTGGAGGAACGTGATCTCTTCGGCCTTTAGCCTCCGTATCCGTAGTTTGTTTATTCGCGCATCGAGGAGGGAGGAAAGTTGGTAGGCGGGCGCATTGGGTGTGTGGATGAAGGTGCCGTAGATGGTGAAGGTCGTGGCCTTCTCGTCGACGGTGGCGTATGCGGGAGGTAACTCGGGCGGAGGCGATGCTGGTACGATGGTGGGTGTTGGCTCTGTGTCGACAGCAGGTTGTTCGGCAACGGCGGGTTCGGAAGGAGGTTGTGGTACTGTGGGGGGCGGAGGCGCGACGACGGCTTCTTCGTATGAGGGTATTGGCGCGTTGATGTTTGGGCGAGACATGGCTGCGATGACCAGAAAACGCACGCAAGCAGTTGCTCAGTCGGGCTGGCAGTACTCACAGTAGTGCACAAGATGGGATTTCAGAGGCTGTGTTCCGCCAAGCATGCTGTCGTATTGATTGATTGATGATGTGAACACGGCAAGCCCGGCGTGACGTACTTCATCCACAACCTCGGCTTCTTCCGCCTGCCAAGACCCCACACCCGCAGTCTCTCCCCACGTCACACCACGAGTCCCACGGCAGTCGCGTGTGGAACCTAGACGCATCCGAGCCAGACTACCAGAAACGCAGCACTCCGCCATCATGTTGGTGGCTCTTTGCATCTGTGCATCTTTGTCCAACAAGCCAAGTCGATCATGCGAACCTCGTGGCCCTTCTCCTGCAACTCAAGCAAGAGTGGTTTTGCTAGATCAAGGAACTCGACGCCGCGCTTACTGTCAGCAGGAAAAATCGAAAGAGAGACAGTTACGCCGAGACTGGCTGAGCTCAAGATCTTTCTTAAATCTCCAATAGTCTCCTCCATATCTGACTCAATCCTCCAACTATTGTCAAAACGCATGACGAAGGTGATGCGGCCGGCGATGTTTTCGGGGAGTACACTTGCATCGATGTTCGACCACCACGGAAGCTTTGCGATAATATGGTGGATAGACAACGGCTGTGCGCACATGTACTTCTGAATGATGAACGTCGTTCTCCAATGGAATCTTTCGAGGATCTCATCAGCTAGTGGGTGGGTGGTTGATATCATGGGGTATGGACAGCCGACTGGTGGAGTAGGTATAATACCGTCCGATGCTCCTTTGTGGATGGAGAAGCCAGTGTTGTCTGTTGCTAACTTGATAGTGTAAGTGTTCTCCCTAGGGAGTAGATGGTCGTATACCATGCCCCTAACCTCCCGTGGTAGCTTCCCTGATGGTAGCAATCCGAACATTCTGTCGAGGAGACTGGGGTGTACGAGCTTGGCGTATTCTCTGAGGACATCCGCGAGCGTCTGGTGGATGTACAGTTCCTTCGGTTCAACCTCGGAACGCTTCCGAAGCTCTGCATTGATACGACGCTCTGCCAAACCGAGCTTCAATGTAGCTGTGTCCTTGCTGATCGGGTCGGCGAGGGACGGTGGACCGCTTTGAGATTTTGGATCAAGTCGTTTCTCGATGTCCTCGAGAGTCGAAAGCTGCTTTTCTTTCCACGATTTCAGCTCTTGCAGCGTAGAGTCAAATCGTTCCTTCTCAGCTCTCAGTCTCTCCGCGATGACATGTAGACTGAAACTCTCGACGTTAGCTAAGGTTATTTACGTTACGACAAAAAGCCTTGACTGACCTGAAAGCTCGAAGACGGTAGTGCTCACACTCCGTCGAGGCAGGCGAAGAGCGTCCGAAGACATCTACGAAGCCGATTTGGTCACCAGTAGTATGGGTTGTAGACATCGCGAACACCTAGGTAGTATATATGGTGATTTGTTTTGGTGTTAGGCAAAACACTAAAGGACCCAGTTATGGGTTGTGTCACTCAGCTAGCTGAAAGACTAGTCCTAAAGAGGCAAATTTGGAAGGCTCCGTTGCCAGTGCACCAAAGAACGCGTCAACAAAGATTGAGTGACGTATCAAGAGTTGATCGTGTTTTCAGATTTCTCTATCTAGGTCCACACTAGCGTGAGTACGTGATTAATGCTCACTTTGGTCGAGATACTCCAATCTTCCATACGAACCAAGGTTGAGTACCAAACCCCCAGTTACACCCTCTTTATATCATCCATTGTGTCATGATTGGTAACAGCCATGCAAGAATGACCAAGCTATTACTTCTGCATTTCGAAGCATCGCTCATTTCCATGCCATCAGACCCTCCGCTCTCAGCTCTGCCTTCTCTCCAGCGTCCATGTTACGACCTGAACGCAGAAATCGAGGCGGGAACGATGACTTAGCTTTTATGTACTCCGACTATCGAGTCCGGTTAATGCGACTTAGTCCTTTACGAGACTCAGTGTGATGACGTACCTTACGATATTGCCTGCGATCTGTCCACGCATCAGCAAATGAGGCACCATCCTCTCCAGCCGTCCACGTCCACCCACTAATCCTATCGTTCAAATGAATCTGGTGACCTCGAGCCTTCAGATCTACCAGGCTCGGAAATATGGCATCCATGATGAGACGGACATCTTCGTTGTGAGTAGCGGCATAAATCTCTGTTCCGGTGTTCGAGGCTGCTATTCTTTGAGCATAACCTATCATGGCTTGGCGTAAAGCTGGATCGGTGACATGCTTCATACTTTGGGACTTGACGTTGTAGATATACCAGTACCGGTCCCTGTCAGGGAAGAACACCTCAATACGTGCTCGGGTATTGGTGAGCTCCTTCAACAACTCGAAGCGCTGACTGAGTAAGTACCTGCGCTCTTCAAGCTGATAAATGTCCTCTGGCAAGTGGATGTGAATCGTGGAGAGCCAGCGTTTCGGTTGGATATCCTGCCTCCACGCATCTTGATCGAGAACCTTCCTTATCAGAGCGTCATGGTGGATGTCAAAGCGGCTACGTCGGTAACGAAGTTGTAAAAACTCTAGCGCCGCCTCTTTACCGACGATGGTGGGATCAACGTAGTAGGGATCTCGGCTCTCAGTGACACTAGCGGCCATGCTAGTACGAGAGAAGTGTGTAGAGCGAGGATTGCTTGGTTTGAGTACATACTCCCTGCCCACTAGTCGGATGTCAGACACTGGATTCTGGAAGTCCATCAGTTCAGCGTAGACCATGTCGCGCAGCTCTCGCGGCAGGTGGTCTTGCAAGGCTTGTAATAACGGCGGGCACTCTAGACGAGAACATGCGACAGCAGTGCGATAAAGCTGATCTTTAGCCTTGCGCAGTTGCTTCTTTGCTCTTGCTCGCCGAGCGCCGTGTCCTTTGGGGCAGGCGGTCACTTCGAATTCGTCGACGATCTTTTGCAGCCTCTCGGCTTTCTTCGCAGTTCTAATTCGTCAGCGCATGCTCTCATTCTTCTCAGCCAACAGTACTCACTCATAGCATTGCGCACGCAGCTCCTCAACCGTCAAGGCCTTACCTGACGAGCCGCGGCTACCTTGCGATCGAGTTGTAGATACCATGACTGACAGCGATGTGCGACATGGAGCAAGCTTTGGGTTCAGGCGATGTTCGTGCACGCGCAAAGAATAAGAGTGATGCGTGTCCATTGGTGTGGACGGACCGTAAAATGGATTAATGAGCGCCTGCCAAAGAGAAAAAGGGTCCACGCTAACGAATGTGGTCGTGAGTTCCCTATTGGGAAGTCACGGTAACGCCTACGTAAACACTACCAGAACTCCAAAACAACGTACCATCTAATCACGCTACCTACCAGGAAAGCCCAACTCCCCGCCATCGCCGCGATAGCTGCATGCACCTTGCCCCGTTCCTCATTCTCCCCACCCTGAAAGAGAAAGAAACCAGCCATCATGAAGCCGAGCCCACCAAGCGCATTGAGAATGGCACTCTGCCAATCCGAATGAAAGAACCTGGGCTTGTACCAGCGCTCTTGTTCAGAGAACGCCAACATAGCGTTCGCGACCAAGAATAGCGCGCCGTGTACAACCTGGGGCCCGAAAACGATATAACCAAAGAGAGGATCTTCTTCCGGGACAATGCCAGGAAAGTCGACGATGCCAGCGAACATAAAGATGATGCCCCCAAAGAGAACGATGAGACCAGCCTGGAAGGCCAAGTTGGTGGCCGACAACTCCCAAACCTTCTCCCATGATGGTATCCATTTGAACTCGGGTGTGCCAAGAAGCGCTGGCCGGTATCTCACCTTCTCAGGCTCCAACTTCGATGTTTCCAGTGTACCGCGGTCCGCGTTCAGAGCACTGAAGGTATCGAAGATGCCTGCGACGAAGAAGAAGATTGATCCGATCAGTATCGTACTAGGGACGGCGACAGTCTCTTCGGTTTCGAACTCCGTGGAGGGGTTGAGGCGAGGTAGGAGATCGAAGGTGGCGTTGATGACGAGGTCGATGGAACCGATGAGGAAGATGATCGCAACGAGGTAGATAGGGTCGCGGTAAGGAAAGACTGTGAACATGGATTTTAGCCGCACTTTAAAAGAGCTGTTGTTGTCCCATTCCATGACCGAAGTGGTGTCGAGATAGCGGTCGTCGATGTATGCTTGGCTGTTATCGGCGTTGCGTTCGACATCGAAGAAGGTAGGCTGTGAAGTACGCTCGGAGTGGCATTTCTCGCGGTGCTCAATGTGGTCGACATGAACGAAGGATTGGAGCTTCTCGGTTGAAGCGGGGCGTGGTTGAAGATCGATTGATAACGTCTCCGATATGCTATGTGGACGAGGGGTCATGCTCATCCGCGCCTGGCGGATGTACGAAGCACGGATCGTTGCTGAGGCATTCATGTCGGGCCAAGACAGCGGTAAGGACAGTATTAGAGATTAGAAGTTATCGGTACTTGTACTAGGAAATTGAACGAAGGACACAATTCGACACGGTAGGCTTATAGAAAAGAAAGCATCCTCAATAGGCCCTTATGAGAACCCATACCCAGCGCAATCAAACGTTAGTTGGGTGTTGCTGTGTTGATCGCGCGCTCAGACGCCCAAGCCCAAGACTTCACATGTCTGACCCACGAGCTTCGTCATGCTTTTGGCCAACAAGCATCGAGTATTGATGCTGTTAAGCTCAACCAAGCTTTGTGAAGTGGTGCTTGTTTCCCACTTGTTTTTGAAGTGGGTCGAACAGTACGTGGCGCCGTCCCGGATGGAGGAGTGCCGCCACCTGTGTGTGGCAGTGAACTGTTCGGAGTGAGAGTTGTCGGTTTCAGTATTTGCATCGTATGAGACATCGGCCCAAAATAGGGGCGACTAGACGAAAAGGGCCCGGATCGCCGGCAGGCGCCGCTCGGACCGATCATCTTCAGGCACTAGTGCAGTGTGCGCTTCATCCTGGAGGTCGATCTGGAAAGATAGTGGGTTAAAACATTCTAGGATGCAGGCCATCTAACTAAGGGCGCGCTGAGACATAGCATGCTAAGGCATTTGTGCGCAGTTAATACGCACGCTAAGGTAGCGCCTTAGCAGATTAATTATAGATTATTTCTAGAATAATCCTACCTAAATAATAATAATATAACTCTACTAAACCTCTCTACTAAACTACGCTACCTATAATAGCCTACTAAATCTAGAGTGTTCTCTAAGAAAATGTATAAACTATTTCTAGATTAATTTATAAATAATTCTAACAAATTTAGCCTACTTATAAGTAATTTCTCTAGCTTAACTAATACCTATTTAGGTGCCTGCCTTTTACTACTAACGCGTAGAATAAGCTAATTATCTATATAAGTTAGCTATACTACTATATTAGAATCTAAGGCAGAATTCTTTGTAGAGTATAAACTGTTTCTAGATTATTTCTTAATTATTTCTAATATTTCTTCTAGTAGAAGTACACTAGCTGCGCTACGCTTAGAAACTACTTACGCTAAGCTTACTAGCTAAGAATAGCGTTTGCTAGGTAAGTTAGAAATTCTACTAACGCTCTAATCTAAGCTAAGATAGGTAAGTTTATTTAAATTGCTTCTTAATTAATTCTTAATTAATTTAACCTAGATTTCTATGTTTAGACTATAGCTACCTATAATGCTATTGCTAACTCTCCTACTATCCTCTCTACTAACCCTCCTGCCTCTTCTGCTAACCTAGCCTAGGTAGAATCTAATAACAAGTCTAAGTTAGATTATTTGTTAAGCGATTTAGACTATAAGTTAGATTAATTAGTAAATAATTTAGACTATAATAATTTTAAGAACTCTACTACTACACTAGATAATAAGAAAGAGAAGAAAAAGTAGAAAGACTAGAAACACTCTCTCTAGAACATTATCTAGGTTAATAATTTAGAGAGAGAATAGGTAAATTATTTCTTAAACGTTTCTAAATTGTTTCTAACTTTTATAGCTTAACTTTACTACTATAACTAATATAGTTAGAGACTATTATAATAATTAGGCTAAAGATAACCTTCTCTACTAGGCGTGCAACATTAATAGCCTAGATATAGACTTTGTTTATAGTAAGTTTTATTTAGATTATTTCTAGAATAATTTAGAATTATTTCTAATAGATTTAGACTATACTTTCTTTTAAAATAAAGAGAATAAGTGCAAATCTTGCTAGTTCTTCTTAGACTTTTCTTCTAAGCGTGCACCTACTCCCTCTAAGAGTAGTAGTTCTAGTAGGTAGTTAGGTGCTATTTCTAAGTAAATTGTTTCTAGAATAGTTTAGAATTAATTTAGTATAAAAAGATGTATATTAGAAATAAAATAAATAAATATTGTATAACTCTCTCTCTACTATATACTTTGCAAATAAGTACTATTATTATATTATTAATAAGAATAATATACTATATCTTACTTAGTAGAATATACTAAGTAAAATATAGTTAATTATAAAGT